TTTTTTTTTCACATTCTGTCTCTCACAGTTGAAGTGTACCTCTGGTGCAAATTACTGACGTCTGTCATCATTTTAAGTGGGGGAACTTGCACAATCGGTGGCTGACTAAATACTTTTTTGCCCCACTGTATCTGTTCTGCCATCTGACTAATCACTCACTTCCTGTTTCATTTTGTATCAACAGCATTGACGCAATACTTCAGAAGGGATACGATGATTAATTTAATGCGTACATTCAACAAACTGTATTAGAGTCTCTCTCTCTCTCTCTCTCTCTCTCTCTCTCTCTCTCTCTCTGGTCATCTGTTAGAGTCTGGGGTGCAATTTCTGGACATGATTTAGGTCCATTTATTCTTTTAGAAGCAAAGATGATACAAAATGCTACAAGGTTGCTCGTAGGGATTTACTTTATGATCAACCATGACAATGCCCACATGCAAATGTCATGACGTGTCAGTGAGGATAAAAATGATGTGGATCATGTCCTTTGTCCTTTGCAGTGAGTCACATTTTCTACTCCACGACCATCATCAAAACAACCACAGGAAGGAATGTCTTTTTGGCAGACTAGTGCAAAGGTGCACTAATGTGTGACTTCCTCTAGGCAGTGCTGTGTGTTCTTGCCAACCCCTGCTTAGGCTGAATTACATAACTATGCCTGTGTTCGAAGTCAGATCTGGATTTTTGAAAGTAGTAAGTGTGTATGTGTGCGTGAACAACCCATAAAGTAGTAGTGCAGTTCTGAAAAAACTGGAAGTTGCAAACCTAACCTAGCTCGCACCGGTTGTAGCTGACATGACCTCACCTCTACCAGCAAATATGGGTCCTAGAGAACCAAATCCGCCAATCACAGCAGGAGGAGTTCACTTTGTTTGGGAGGGCACAAAAAGTGTCTAATAGTCTGTCTGGGAGAGTCCTGAGATGATTTCATTCCATGGTTTGTTTGTTTGTTTGTTTGTTTTTAATCACATTGTTCACCTATATTACACCCTGTGCACTTAACTACTGCAGCATTGTGTATTTCATTGTTAAAAAAATGAAATTATTATGATTTTTACTTTGCAAAAAACTCCTGCCATTCATGTTTCGCAAGCAATTCGTCCAAACAGCATGATCAAACGATAGATGATGAAATGTTAAAGGGGGCGAGTCCTCTGTGCCGCCCTTGGTGGGATTTATTCCCCGAGTAAAACCTTACAGGTAATGGGCTTCGTGAGCTCTACATTATTTTAACATTATACTTAAATACTTCTCCTCCAACGTCAAACATAACTTAATTTTAACTTGAATATGCACGTGTATTAAACTTTGATGGAATACAGTGTGACACTTATCCTGGAAGGTAAGTTCAAAGGGAAAAATTAGCAACCTAGCAAAGCTTCACTCGAGTGACGTGTTCCAATGCTAAACAGAAAAGGGGCGGGTCCCTTGAGGTTATCCAATCAGAAAGTAGGCGGCAGTCCTCGACGGCGTGTCATTGGCTTAAAGTTTCTCCCTTAGGTTGTTCATATAAATAATAACATCTCGGCTAGCATGTGGCAAGCATACCTGTCAGAGAGGTAGCGCGTTTCCTCACTCAGTTAAAATTGTCCAAACTTGTTTGTCCGCTCGACACTAAGGTAGAGGTAGAGGTCCGGGCAGGGAGAAGCAGCGGCAGTATGTCGGTCGACAGCGTGTTTAGGACCCGGTCCCTCGGTGTGGCAGCCGTAGGTCTTCCTGATCAATACGCCGATGGCAAAGCAGCGAAAGTGTGGCAGCTGTACATCGGAGACACGAAGAGCAGGACGCAGGAGTACAGGAGCTGGGTGGTGTCCCTGCTGAAGCAGCACGGGGTGCGGAGTGTGCTGGATGTAGCCTGCGGAACAGGGTAATGTCAGGTCAATTTAGCAGTTTCATAGTGACACGTCTGACAGGGGCTTCAGCTCTGCTTCATCAAAATCCACTTACAAATCGGTCAACTTAGTATGGATTTATAAATATGATCAAATTAAAAAATATATAAGCAAAAACTTTAAGTTCTGAAATTTCCATAACAAAATCTTAAATACGGCTTTATCCAAGTATCTCGAGCACGCTTTTGTCAATGATTAAACTGATTTAAATTGCATATGCCAAACAAAAACCTGAACTCACAATGATACAGCAGGTGAACAGCTGCTGATGACGTCATAAAACGTGCTGATTCAGACTGCATTATTGCTTTTCAGATTTGTGAAAAGGTGTGACTCTTGTGTGATTCACAGTGATTGTGCAGCTTCAGAACAGAGTTGTGTAGGCGTAGCTGATAGTGATGATGGTGTTTGCTTCTTTGCTGTTCTTGATAGATCTGTAGGTAAAAAATAATGTGATTTCAGCTCACATAGGCCTTTTTGTACGTGTACCCATCTTTATAGCTGTTCAAGTGAGTTTGACGTTTGTGGAATTTCAACTCACTGACCCTTTTTAACTCGGGACAAAATCCGGATTAAGCCACAGAATAATGAATGAAAGTGCAGAGTTGCACCTGATCCTGAGCCACGTCCTGCCTCCTGCACTGGTCTGGACACAGCAGGTTTACACATGCTGGTTAAATGTGATTCAGTTAGAGAGGCGTAATATGTCTGAGACACAAGCTTGTAGAAGCAAGTGTTGTCCATTTAAATTTCCTGTTTCTAAAGCAAACTAAACACAAGCGAACCCTAAACTTGCATTTAGTAGGTCAGTGGGTGATGAACTAGTGCTGGGTAGTCGAAAGGAGTTTTTTCTGGTTTCCTGCAGTCTTTTTTATCTCCCTTGATACATTGACTGTGCTTTCACACAGCAGCAAGGCCATTGCCTAAGCACAGACAAGCAGACCATAAATGTCACCTCAGCTGTTGTTTTTCTCATGGAGAATTTTCACTGGAGATGCACTATAACAATTTTATTATTTGATGTTTATTATAAATGTATCTTCTTTTTTCTTTGCTCATCACTTAGCACTCATTTCAGCTGCTAATCAACATTACAGAGCTTATAATGTTCATGTAAGAACTGCAGTCATTTCCATAATAACTCAGCTCCATATATCAGGCCGCATGGTTGTTTTCCTGCGGTTTGGAGCACCCCAGCACATTGATTCTGACCCGATACCCTAGTAGTGGTGCCCCTCCGTAGTGCAGCAGCCTCGAAGTAAACATATTCCTCGTGGATCACGGTTACAAATAGCTATTTTTGGCAGTGTGTTTGTGATGCTTTCTAATTCTGAGAAGAAGCTTCTGGCTGTGAATCACTTTCAGCTGAACCTGTGAGAGTTTTTAATTTAGGATTCCATAGGTTCTAGCAGGAAATCTTATGTATAACTGCAGAATGGATAGGCATACAGACAAATTAAAGGGGAACCATGAATCCCTGACTTATACCTCAAGGATTATACTGGATCTGTTAAGCTGAGGCCTTCACAGTCACCAGACTGAACAGTTGAACCAAATGAAGGACCATCAGAGTCCTTTGAGACTTGTTGCCAAGATGAAATCTAAAAGATATGAATTTGCTTTTAGCCTAAGACTGTTTAATCCAAATCTGAAAACTGGCTGTTCTTTTTACGTAAGCTTTATTTGTTTTGTTGTTATATTATCTTGTAGTTACCCAGTAGATGTTAATGATTTCTGCATTATTGTCCATTGAATCCCTCCCCCCTGTTGCACTGAAACACGTCAGTATTGTTTATTATTAACTCATAAATTGCCGAGAAAACATTTTTGAAAGTCAGTCAGTAGCATCTATTCAGGCTGTGGTTTGGCCCACAATCACGTTTTCCTGTCAGGTTTTCAAAATAGGAGTAGCTTCTGGCTACTATACAAATCATCTCTCCTTACCTGTGACAAGGTTAGTATTCCTGTCTGTAGTGAGACGATAAGCTTATCAACCTACTACTAAACCACATGTAGTGCAGTCACAGCAAACACACACTCGCACTCAGACTTGATCAAACTGGTTTTTTAGGGGAAGATGACAGCAGGGATTACTTCAAAATCAAAACACACCTACTGCATGATCCTCACAGGTCGGTTGTTGTTTTTAATGTATTCATGGATTTTGTTTTCTAGGATTGACTCCATTATGTTGGTGGAGGAGGGGTTTAATTTAGTGAGTGTGGATGCCAGCGACAAAATGCTCAAGTATGCACTGAAGGCGAGATGGGACAGGAGAAAAGAACCAGCTTTTGACCAGTGGGGTATGAAAACTAAAATATATTTATTGAATCAGTGAGTTCCACAGATTTAGATTCTATTTGTGCCAGTAATCAAATCATATTCGCCAAGCATTTTGTGACAGTCTCTTTGTGAGCCTCTCGTCCTCACGATTAGCTCAAAAGTCCACCATCTTGGACTACAGCTGGAGACGGCAGCCCTTGTTCTTCTCTGTGACCTCAGCAGAGCAGCACAAGCTGCAGGTTCTGATCCCCAAGTGGAACATAAGAGCAGAACAAGGACTACAGAGTCAAGCTGCAGTACAAGTTGAGCTGGAGCAGCTCCAGTCATGGGATGAGATCCTCTCCAGGGAAGCAGCTAAAGGATATTGAAGCCAATGAGCCAACTGGTAGTTAAAGCATAAGACAAGGGCCAAGGCGAGTTGCCAGGGAATTGTTAACTAGTAAATTGATCTCTCATATGAATCAATGGAAAATAACCTTAAGAAGAAGTGACACAAATGAAGCATTCGTCAGAGAATGTGCATCCTAGCATAAAGTTAACTTAATCAACAGAGCAACATCAGTACAAGTGATGGCAGGGTAAGCTTAAAGTTGAAAAGCTAAGCAATCAGTATGACATTTAGTCACGGACCTCCTTATAGTAATAAAACAAAGACTGTGTGGTGTTGGTTTTGCATTGGCCGTCATGCCTGGGTTGCTCCCAATAAAGCCCTGTGTGTGGGCAGCACTCAGAGTTGTTTCATTTGTCTTAAACTGTTGCAAAGTGCACACGTTTGTGGTGATATCTACATTTCCTCAGGTGACCTCATGTTCTGCTCTTTTCCTTCTTGTCTTCAGTGATTGAAGAGGCCAACTGGCTGACTTTATCAGAAGACATTCAGAAACCAGGAGATGGTTTTGATGCAGTCATCTGCCTCGGCAACTCATTTGCCCACTTACCAGACTTTAAAGGTACACAAATAATAAAAGTGTTGTTAATTTTATAGGTGAGCTTAAGGGCTTTTCCTCTGGGCCTGTCAAAACATCTCATTATGCCTGGACTTGGCAAACGTAGGCATTAGAGGAATGACCTGTCTGGGTGCACCTCTGAACACACCCAGCGATGATGTTGCAGTGCCCTGGAGTGCTCTTTCACCTCACTGTAGCAGGGTGTAGAGGCATGGCAAGCCCATACAGGATCTGTCTCAAAGGATTTATCCCACAACCTTCGTCCCAGAGATTGTCAGAGATATTAGAAATATATTTGTGGAGGGGAAAAAGTGTCCAAATAATTTTTGCCTTGTCAGAATGATGATGTGACTCATTAAATTGCCATGTGATTACTCCTGCATCCATAACTCAAATCAAACATCTCCTTGAATCGATGCACACGCCTTTGCCTTCCACAGTTTGTTACCATGTGTTTAGCTGCCAATTTGATCCCTTATTCATGCACTCAGTCGTGCTCTTGTTGCTGTTAGGGGACCAGAGTGACCAAAAGCTGGCCCTTCGAAACATCGCCAGTATGGTCAGACCAGGTGGGGTCCTCATCATTGACCACCGCAATTACGACTACATCCTGGAGACCGGGCGTGCTCCACAAGGCAAGAACATCTACTACAAGGTACCAAACATATACCAATATTGGATTTACTGCAGTGATTATTCTTTTTACAACATAATTGCATAACAGTGTAAATACAGAAACATTAGCCATATTTAGATAATGCTGAATTGTCAGAGATGCATGATGAGCAGTTCTAATTATGGATTCCTGTCTTAAATGCTTGTAACAGTATTTGTTTCAGTGCCTGATGTATGACTGGGTTTAGGACTTCTCCAGTTTGGGACATCCTGTTATAGAAACACTGATATTCACATTTTAAATTTAATTTTTGAATCAGTGCTAGTTTTAAACAACAACAACAACAAAAAGCAGCATTTGTTTTCGTTTTGTATAAACAGCATTCATGTGTAGCTTAGTTTTTAAACTGAGCTTTTAAGAACTCATGTTGAAAACTACAGCCTTCAGGCTCACGACACCTGCTTTGTTTGGAAAGGTGAAATGCATCAGTTAACAGTCGGTGTACATTTTAGTCTGTTTTTCTTAACCCTTTCCAAAGTACTGCATGCAGGCTTATGGCAATTGAACAGTTTCAAATATTTAAATTTAATTTCAAAATATTATTTTAAATTGAATATTATTTTAATTTGCTTGTATATGCTCCTATAGTTCGTGGAGAGAAAATCAGAATCAGCAAAAATCTGTTTCGACGGGTAAAATTTAGAAAAAGAAAAAAAAATGGACTCAGCCAAGAAAATTGGACCCGGTGCCCCTCTGCTTTTAATCCTTTGGTAAATCACTTCTGGGATTTCGCTCTAGAGACTGCTAAGAGAAGCTTAGGATTGTTATTTTTTGGTACGAACCCAAAGCACACAGCAACGTATGAATGATTAACCTTGTGTTGTGGCTGCGCTGATCACAGACGTTCTGTCTGCTGCTGTTTGTTTTAGTCATTTATTCTCTTTTCAAGGATGACGGTATGTTTGATTGTAAAACCTCTGAGAACAGATACACTGTTTAGTTTATTCAAGTTCAAAGAACTGGATCTATTTCTTACTCAGTGGTGTCTAGAGCCTGACCACTTTATCAGTTGGCCAATATTAGCCTTTTGGTGATCTATCAGCCGTTAAATCCATCCTGTCATCCATTCGCTGGAGCCTATACAGCCCTTAAATTAAAATTTAAAAGGTAAAGAAAAAATTGGAGAGACACCCTCCAGCCATCTTACGAGTGTTGATATTGCATAGTTTGTCCACCAGAGGACACTCTGCAACTTCCCTTTTGGCAATAGCAGCTTGGACAGCACAGCCATCAGCTGATCTAAGAAGACTTGGGCAGAAGATAAAGGACTAAATAAATGACTACATGTAATAAATATTAGAGAATCTGTTCATGCATCTGAATATCAGATTGTTAAATCTCCAAATATTGATTTAGCTCTTCCTACACTGGCTGAGCTCTTGTGGTGTCTAACTGCTTGTTTATTCTTGGAAATTATGGAGCATTTGGACCTGGAAATGGCTGATTACATCCTTCAACGGTGTAAAAGATGGACGTAGCTCCTGGACGTCACCTGTGAATTTCCCACTTTGAAGCCTTGAGACGAGCATTTTTGCCATTGGTGTCCTTTTGCTTTGAAATGTGCTTTGAAATATGCAAAATTCACTTAATTTTTAATAAAACTCAGTGATTAAAATTGAATTGATAGAATTGATCAGAAAGTAATTTACAGAGGTCAGACCTGAAATTTGTTTTCAGACTTTTTACAGGACCGGAAGTCATTTTGCAGCCACAGTTGGCGCTCCCCATTGGTCCTTCAAATGAGTGCAGGTTTAAGGCACTTCTGTGTTGGCTTCACTTTTCAGGGCCTGAAGCTACATCTGTCTTTTATACTTTGCTGAATGTGAATTAGTCATACAACGTGCAGTTATCTATTGGCTTTTTCTCAAATATCATCCTTATTTTATTGTCATACAGATCATAAGTTTTGGACTTTTCTCTCTGCCCAAAAAGAGAATCTGAAGTTTGAAGCCATTCTTCAGCCCTCAGTATGGATGGCACAAAGAAGCCCGTTTTTAATCTTAATCCTCAGCACAATCTGGTCTTTTATTGCTTTGCGAGTAGTAGTGGGACAGACAGTATTGTTTAAGAATGGTTTATTTACGCCATCCCTAGCAGCAGCTGGCTTTAAGACTTAAATCCCCACATGGAGCCTGACGGATATTGTGAGATTTTCACTAAAACTGGTGCAGGAGAAACAGAAGGAAATGTGTTTGGGTTTTCATATCATTTTGGCAAATGGGGCAAAAAACGGATGAAGTCACGAATAATGAGTAAAAAGCCCTTTGGGAAGATGGGGAAACAACATGACTGAAAGTACACGTAGCCTCTAGTGTGCACATTAAGTGGACACTTCTGTATAGATTGCATGTATGATTTTTTTTTTTTTTTTTTTCTGTCTCATCCCCTTTTTTTAACCTTGTGTTCACATAATCAGACAATCAGCCAGGCTTGCATTTGGAATGAGCTCAGATATGAGATGTGGAGAATACACAACAGCAGGTCGTGACTGTAGGGAGCCATATTTGATTCAAGATGTTTGCATTAAAAACAACGTCCATATTCTTTAATCCAGCCAAAGCAGGAAGTATCCAGCTGGAAGGCCTCAATATAAATACTACGTCAACAATTGCTAGTTGGCAAAAATCAGCTTCTGATGCCTTCGTAATCCCTGAGTTTGCTCTTGTGCTCCAACACTGAACCAACCAAATCTTTTTTTCCTTTCATCAGTCTCTTCTGTTCAGGCTGTGTTTGGACATCATAGAAGAAAATGAGGATAAATTGTGTGTGTGTGTGTGTGTGTGTGTTGCAGAGTGACCTAACTCAGGACATCACCACCTCAGTGTTGTGGGTCAACAGTAAGCCACATATGATCACTCTGGACTACACCATCCAAGTGCCACAGGCCACCCTCCAGAACCTGCCTGAAGTTAGGTGAGTCGGGCTCTGATGCTGCTGCAGAGCTGATAGGAGACTGAGCTCACACCTCATACATTATATCTTGATCCTTTTATGGGAGACCTATTCTAACTGGTAGATCTGGACAATACATTGTACATTTGTCATTATAGCATCTACAATTTCATGTCTTGTATGCATTAAATGCAGCTTTTACTGTATCTCAAATCTTTAGGTTTACATTGCCTTGAATATTTTTGCTTTCCAGCCATAAACTGTAATGTTAATTCATTAATATGCTAAAAAAAAGAAAAGAAAAAAGTTGTCTTACATTTACTTTAGATGGTGTTTAAACGTCATCAGCAGGATTGTGGTTTTGCATTTTCTAATTAATTTTTCTCTTGATTTTGACTTTATTCTGAATTCAGTTTATTTTCAGTTCTTTGAAAATGTTTAGTTTTAGTTAGATTTTTATTAGTTTTAGTGTTATTATTGTTGTATGAAGGCTTATGTCAGAGGGAAGAAATAAGAAAATCAGTACATGAATAAAAGTGCATGACTTTTTGAAAGCAGTTTATTTACAGTCTTGAGACATCCATCACCAACTCATCAGGCAAACTAATCAAACGAACAGATACTAAAACTAAGGATATTTCCTCTATTTTTAAATTAAGTCATTTAGGCTTTAATTTTAATCAAAGATGTTTTTTATGTTTTGGTCAAATAAAATGTTTTCTTCCCCCCCCCC